GTCAGACAGGACCTCAGAGTCTGTGAAATCCAGAGACAGTCTGCTTTCATCCAGACCGTCAAAGATGAACAGAAGTTTACAGACAGCCAGCGTCTCTGCTGTGACCTTCTCTAGTGTTGGATGGAAAACATGGAGCAGACTCAGAAGACTGAAGCGCTCATCTCTGATCAGGTTCAGCTCCCTGAATGAAAGCAGGATCACCAGATTGAGGTCTTGGTTCTCCAAACCCTCTGCCCAGTCCAGAGTGAACTTCTGCACTGAGAAGGTTTTTCCAACACCAGCCACGCCGTTGGTCAGAACCACTCTGACCACTTCCTGTTGACCTGGTAAGACTCTAAAGATCTCATGACACTTGATGGGTTCGTCATGGAGGGTCTCCATCTTTGAAGCTGTCTCCAGCTGTCTCACCTCATGTTGTGTGTTCACCTCTTCACTCAGTCCCTCTGTGATGTAGAGCTCAGTGAAGATCCTGTTGAGGAGGGTTTGACTACTTCCTGTTCCATCACTTCCTTCATTCACACGTTCACATCTCCTCTTCAGACTGATCTTATGTTCATCTAAAACCTCCTGCAGACCGCCATCTTCTGAAAGAGAAGAAAAATAAAATGAACCAAACTGCTCAACATGAAAACATCTTTGTGAAAATCAGTCAGCTGAGTTTTCATCCACAGAGACTTTAGAGGACAGATGTTCAGACTTACTTTGATCAGAGCTTGACTGACTGTCTGTCTGAGAGACAAGAACTGTTCTGGTTCTTTTTCCACACTGGGGACAGGAGGTGTGTCCTAAAGAAGTAGACTGGTCCCTGCATGAGGCCAGGCACTGTCTGCAGAACCGGTGTCCACAGCGGGTAGAGACTGGATCCTTCAGGATGTCCTGACATAAAGAACAGCTGGACAGCTGCTCCTCCACAGAGTCACATCTCTGTGTCTCTCTGTGGAAATAAAGAACATTTATTTTCTTTATCATTTCATGTTTGAAAGATACAGAATAAGAAGCATTTATTAAACCAGAGTTTCTGACCTCACTCTTTTCTTGAACATAAAACAATCTCCTTTAAAATATTCAGCTGCTGCTGCCTCAAAGTGTGGAGACAGGAGAAAAACTAAACTGAGATTTTTGAGGGTGGAGAGATTTTCGCCACCAATTCTACATGTTTTTTAATCAAGCAGATCTAACAGGAGTGATTTCTTCATTTGTCTTCTGGTATTTTGTGACCCACAGACTGTTTTCTGGGGTCTATACACCACAGTCCAAAGACTTACAGACTCAAAACGTCCCAAACACAGGAACCAAATCAGAAAATACAGAGGTCAGAATCCTTTTCAAATGCTGTTTTATACGACCTTCATTTTTATAAACATGATGAATAATAAGTAAATCTGTGCTCAGTGACTTTTTCTTCACCAGCCCTTTACCCAAGTTGGCAGGTTAAAGAGGAAAATCACTGTTTTGAGAGCAGAGGAGATCATTTTTCTCACCATGGTAGAAAACAGAGGGGTCAGGATTTAAAGTTTTGGTTTTGAAACATCAGTTGTTGTTGTTTGAGAGTTTGGAGGGTGAAAAGTGTTTCTCTTACCGTGAATCTGAGGGTCCTGGTTCTTTACTGAAGTTTTCAGGGGGATCCTTAGACCAGTCACTCTTTATAGACAGACGGTCGAACATAACAGACTCTGCTCTGTCCTCCTCTGAGGGTCCTGTTCTCTACTGAAGTTCCATGGAAGATCTTTAGACCGGTCACTCTTCATGGACAGACAGTCAGACATGACAAACTTTGCTCTGTCCTCCTCCTCCTCGACACAATCACTCATCTTCTCCATCTGATGTCGTGCAAATTCATGGCAGATGAAACCGAGTTATACAACCTGAGGACAAAAAGACAAAGATACAAACAGGAAGAGAGTGTTCAGTGAAGATGATCAAGTTTCTACATCTTAATTTGTCAACAATCTGTCTGCACACAATCCCTCTTTTTTGAATCATAAAGGTCCTGGTTGGCTATCTTATCCAGTCTAACATGATCAAGTCTAAGAGTCTGAAAATCACATTTATTTTTAAACCTTGACGATGTAAGAACTTTGTACTATCAAGTATTCTTGAATGTTAAATTATTGTTTTATTCTTGACTGATTCTTCTTTTTAACCTGCTACAGAACACAAAGCTGCTTTAGAGTTTAATTTAACTCTTCACAATCATTTACTTTAAAGGCTGAATGTCTCTGGTTCAAACACAGAGGAACATAAATGTGACGGTTTTTTGTTGAACTCTGAGAATGTGGTGATTTTCTGCTCTGTGCCTAAAACTCAGGAAGCTCATACTTGATACTACACCAAAGAAAAACATCAGTTATACTCTGTGATGCTGGTTTGGTACACAGCTGTACTAATATTACATACAAACATACAACGCCTTAGTTGTTATTTTCATCCCCTCATTATTTTCATCATCTAACTTACCTGCTCTCTGTTCTTCGATCTCAGCATTATAAACACTGGTTCATTTATGATCAGTCCTTCAGCAGTTATTAAATGTATTTTACATTCAGAGGTATTTAGTCCCCATCTCTTTAAGGTTGCTTTGCCTCTAATGATGGGCTGTCTGTTATATGACCCTTTTACTGTAAATGATTCATTTATTGTCCTGATCTTTTACAGTCCTGCACTGAATACTGTTCATACAAAGACTTTGGACCTTAGATATAATCTGATAGGCTTATATTTAACTGCAATAAAGGTACTTTGGACCAGAAGATAAAACAACAGCATGAATACCTTTACAGTATTTGAAAAACAACCTTTGGTCAACTTCAGCTGTTTTATTGTGACTGTATTCAGTGATAATGTTGGTTAGAGGTTACAGGTGTTATTGCAGTATCTGAAAAACTTTGACTACAAACTTTAATACCATACACCCAGACCTGTACTCTCCTAAACTCCTCTGAGTCTGAAAAAGCAGTAATGATGGCTGTGAGCTCAGAGAAGTGAATCCTGACAGAAAGTTCGAGGGTCTGTCGGAGTTTGAAATAACCTGTTTGAACAGTATCCACAGCATTAGTTTGGATTTCTCCCCCTCATCCTTGTCTGACTCACAGTGTAAATATAATCGGTGAAGTCTGTTGAAGATCAAAAAAATATGAAGTGGATTTTGGGCTCATCTCACCAAAGGCAGAAAAACAGAGTTTACTGGATGAGGAATCAATCGGGGAACGTATCAGATCAATTTTCTCTTCATAGCTTTTTTTTAAGTGTATTAATAAGCAATAACAGTTCTGATAAATGACAGACTGAAAACCAAACAGTAACACTGAATTAACACTCACCCTGTTACAAGTGTCCTCTCTGTGCTGAGTCACTCTGAAGTCTGAACTTTGAACACTTTTAGTTTTATTGTTTTATTGCAAAGTTTCTCCTCCCCTTGATTTTTTACAGGAAATGCCAAGTGTTAGTATTTAGGAGTGAAGAAAAACATTCCCTGATCACCAAATCACACAGACATCCATGAACTACATACTGTATTATTATTATTAGATCATAAAGTTATCAGATTTACTGCATTTACTACTGAGTGGGGGTGTAGTAGGGATATGGCTCAACTTACCCCGCTCCTATGGTCAACTAACCCCATACACAGGGAAAGTTGACCATAGGAGACCACTTTGTTTGAATGCTATATTATCAAGACAGTTATGTTCACACTCATTCTATTGGTTTTCAAGGATTAACAACATCCTGAAATATATGCAGATACACTAGTTAGAGACAAAACTATGATTGTCTTGATGTAGTGATCCGAAATATAAAAAATGGCTCATCTTACCCCACTCTCCCCTAAGTTTCAGTAACAACAGAAACTTGTATGGTTGCGTCTCCGTTTAATGTTACTGCAGCAGCGCCACCTGCTGGTTAAACCAACAAACTACCAGATGAGCGCTCCTCTCCCAACAGCTCGGTCTCACTTAGAGGCAAAGCAAACGGTAGCATGGAGCCCCACGCCACTAGGGGGTCCCCCAGGGCTGACGGACTTGACTCCACAATAATGTCCAAAAATGAGGAAACTGCAGTGACCTGCTTTATCAATCTCATCAAACAACAGCTGGTCAAATTGCAACGACATCTCAGACGGATACCCCCCTAAAGGGACCCCACAACATCCCTGTCTCACTGCTACGTGACCTCCGTCCACTAACTTCACCGAAGAGCATCAACCAGAGTAACGTCAGTCAGCCATGCTAAATGAAGCGGAGCTACTTGTTAGGAAACGAGAAAAGAAAGAGAGGAAAAGAGGAAAAAGAAAGAAGAATAAAGACAGCGGTAAGTGGAGCAGATAACGACGTGTAGCTAACACTTGTTGAAAGCCGGCTGTTAATTGTTTATTAGTTAGTTAGCCTTGTTAGCGGAGCAGGAGATGTTAGCCCGCGGTTCCCGCTCCGACGGCTCGCCGTTATTGTGTGTGTCGACACACCCGCACGCGACTGTCTTGCGAGCCTGGCTAACAACTAGCCGACAGAGAGAAAGTATGCTAGGAACAATAGTGAAATTTCAAGTAATTAGGACACCGGTAGTGTTCATGTGAATATATGAGCTTAACATAACAAATCCCCATTATCCATTTTAACGTGGACAGTGATGTAATAAACAAAAACATGAGCATAAATGGAAAAAAGGAACAACTTTGGCTCCTGTCATTTACTCACTTGAAATATCACCTCTGAATCAAAGGTGGGAAAAGGAGAAGGAGGGATGTGTAGCAGGTGCACAGAAAATTCTTAAACTATCAGCAAATGAACTGCATGGAAACTTAAGTACAGAACATGAACTCACGTGAACTCTCCTCGCTCGTGAACAGGAACCTGCTATCTTACCAATTCTTTACGAGCACCCTATACCACAGTGGTGTCGCCTACCCCAGGCTTTCTCGGCTTTAACCCATAACATGTCTTAAACAGGCCCGGATAAATTTTTTTTCTATACCTCTAAAGAAATAAAATGAAGTAGATAGTTTTGTAATTTCCCAGTTTCAGTAAATGCAACAGGCACGACACCATGACCAATCAGAGAGGAGATGTATGGAGGCGGGAAATCATCCGTGTGTTTTTGGCTGACAGGTGTCTATCTAATCTGAACTCTGATTGTGTTCCGAGCGGGTTTCGAGTCGTCACATGAACGGAAAAATGGACGACATCAGACGTTTTTTTTCTCTGACAAAGAAAGACATTTCTGCAGTCCCTGGATCTCAAGTGTCTGAACAACCACGTGAAACAGGTAAACAAACATGTCTTTTAAATCCTCTATGTCTTCAAAATTATGTGAACATTAGACAGATCAGTCATGATGGTACATGATAGTTTGAGGATTGAGTTAGCCGAACCGTTAGCCCTGCCCTTTTCCAGCGTCATATATGTAGATATGTAGATCTATATATACATAGATTGAGTATTCAACCTAAGGTATATAGTTACCTGTATTTATCGTGTTGGTGCAACTGAGAGCTGAACTGTAAACAAACATAAAGCATAAATAAAATCATAAGTAAACAGGAAAGGCCGCTGTAATTTGTGTATTCAGTTATTCATGTAGAGATTCATCAATGTAATTATCATTTAAGATTTGACTACTTGATAAAAATGTCGCAACATTTGACAGGTTAATTTACTGTAAATGCTTAACTACCATAAAGTTAAGTGACTATTCCTGTGTCTTTGCATTTCCATGGATTTACTCGAGAATATGACGCTTTGTCATTGTTTTGTATTCTGTATTTACCATATATACAAATAATTGCATACAGGCATAAAATGCAATTATCCAGATAGGAGAAATGTAATCAATTTTAACTTCTGAGTAAGATCTATTGTACTTTATGACAAAAACTATACAAGTGAGCCTGTTTCCCTCAGTAAGTTACCCTTTAGCATGATTTATGTTTCAAGGGTCAGTTCCCTATTTATGATTAACTTTTGTAACGTCTACTATGATGAAGAAATCTGATTCTATATTCTGTTTACTGATGACCCTGATCTGACAGAGAATGAGGAGGAAACAACGGCAGACACGAACCACGAGGAGACGGAAGGAGAAGATAAAACAGACAAATGAAGAGGACGACCAGAACACACGAGAGGTAACAGGTAGCACTCAACTGATTTGGGGACTGCAGACACAGGGCCAGGGCAAATAAAACATCACTGCTTTCCATCCAGTATGTTTGGCAAGCAAAGAACAGTGTTTCAATCAACGTGGTTCAAAATATTTGAATAGCTGGAGTACTGAGTAAGTGCCAGTGCAGCATTCAGCTTTGTTTTGAGATTATATGGTAAGCCAAAACAAGCAAGGCCAAAAAAATATGCTCACCACCACTAGATATTGCAAGAATTTTAAAGGCAACTTGAGGTAGGGGGCAGGCAACTTGTTCATTTTTCAAAGACTCGCTGGACGTAAAACGGCAGTTCAGAGCACTCATTTAAAAGTTACAGGAGCAATGAGAAAGCACATGAAATCTATGACCAGACTATGGCTTTATGTGAAGATGTTGAGATCCATTCAAGTGAGACACAGAGGTAGACATGAAAAAACATGGACAACTTTGTAGTTGAGACATTTTGTGACACAAGGTCAGATCTTTCTAATGGAGATGACGTGAGAGGTAGTCTTCTTTCCAGTTCTTGATAGAATGCCAGAGGAGCTTCAGAACAGGTTTTCTGGAGTTAGGGGAAAAAATATTGACAGGCATACAGGCATGTCAGCCTGCTTCAGAGCATTTTCTGAATGAAGAGGCACTCAAACATCTAGCTGAACGTTACACCGCCTAAAGAAAAAGATATGTTCCTCTCCCTAAAGCTTCCTTGACAATCCCAGTTACCGGCTGCAGATGTAAAAGCTTTTTCAGTTCCCTCAGTTGACTAGACACATAGCTAAAGAATACAATGGGTCAGGAGCGGCTAAATAATTTGACCACAGTGTCAATTGAGAGGGAGATGCTGGCCAGCTTTGACCACGGCGAGGTCATAGATTGATTTTCTAAGCTAAAAGGAAGGTGTTTCAACCTCACACTTCCACATTCACTAAACTAAACAGAGAGCATGCAGCAGATGATGGATGAAGAGAAATGATGGAAGCAAATGATAAAGGGAGGGAAGAGAGAATTTGGGGGATGATGATGATGATGATGATGATGGGGATGGGAAAGCAGCAAGTGATGGAGGGAAAACAGGAAGAAAAAGGAGGAAAACAAGTGATGGAGCCTGTAAGGAAAGAGAGAAAAGACAGGATTGGATGTTGAAGAGGTACAGTAAATACTGCAGCATGATCTTTCTTTCTAAAAACTTATGTGACTGAAAACAGTTTATCTTTTTTGCAGAAGATGTGTGACAGAGAGACGGAAAGTCATGGGTGGAAAAAGCAGCACAGTCTGGAAAGGTACAGCACCACACTGGATGACATCCATCTGAAAATTGTCTGAGTGAAAATAAAGAAAGAAAACCTAAAAAGTATTTTCAAAATATTTATTCAGAGAAAAAGAGCAACCAACTAATACTTGTGCTTATTCTTGAATTTTTTATTGAGTTTCCCTTCAGGGATCAATGAAGTTCTTCTATTAGGAAAAGAAAAATGAAAACAGTTGTTACCTATTTACTTATTGAGGGTGTTGGCTCAGCCCCCAATGTTCCCAGGTCAACGAAATGCCCCTGACATGATCTCTTAACTCTTTCTACTGGAGTAGCTGTGAGAGACATAATATTCTACTGCTGCAGAAAAAACGACGTGTTAGTTTGTCTTGTTTCTGAAGCTAGAGATGATTTAAGCTGTGTGAGATGCTGAAGCTGTATAGAAGTTCAAATAACACTGAAATTATTTGTACTGAAGCCCTGAGCAGACAAACATCTGCATGCAATTATTATCCCCACACAGCCATGATCATTTAATAAATATAAAATCAAACCAGAGAAAGCGCTAGCTTTAGTTTCTCAGTATGATCAGCAGGTGGTGCTGCAGCACCTATAATGAGCTCTGACTCGAACTTGGTGAAAAACAAAAGTAGTCAAGTTTTTACATGTAGGAGACTTTAGTGTTGCGTTCAGGGACACAAGGATCACTGAGAACATTAGAGTCGTGTGTCCTTGAGTTTAATTAAACTGTTGAAATTTAACTTTAGCAATCATAAATTTAACATTGAATCAAATGTTTCAGTGATGTTTCTCCGTGACTTTGTGAACAAATTAAATTATTGTTGCTTGTTTTTTTGTCTCATTATATTTAAAAACACGGCATCGACTGTTAAAAATCCTCTTTTTAATCTGGAAAACCATAAAGTGTACCGTCATATTTAAACAGTGAAACTTTATATTTATGGAGAACATTTATTTCTGTTTTACAATAATTCAGTGAAATGAAGATTTACAAAGTTGAGCTGTCCTGGCTTCTGATTGGACCTTATAGGTCAGCTGTTGGCAGATACAGCCTCTGATTGGCTAACAACAGAAATGACACTTTGTTACTGACATTAATCCATAAATTATTAGACTATTTTAATTTTGCAGGGATGGGGTCAGGAATGTTTCTGAAAACACACTGATCTTTTCTGTGGAATAGAAAAGCTTTGGAGTGTCACAGAAACACAAACTTATCTCCTGAAAGCTGACAGTCTCACAAAGCCAGTGGATTTTACAGAAAGTCATTCCACTGTAGCATCAATTTATGAAGCTGAGATTGTAATCAACAACACTGAGTTTATAACCACGTTAGTGACTTCACCCTGAATAGATGCTGATCTCACTTTTTTCCGACTTGAGTCAATACGTTAATGTTTGTCTATCAGAGAAAAACTTCTCCATCATAATAAAGTAAATAACGTTTCTGTGTTCAAGAATCTTTCCTTTGACTAATTATATTTCACACATTTTACTTTAACTTTCAGGTCTCATTTATGGTTTAATAATTGTGTTTGTTCATCCAAACAGGAGGGAATTAATTATTGATGAGCTCAAAGATGATATAAGAACAAAAACATAGAAAGAGAAGGAAAATAATGTCTAATAATATAAAATAAGGTCAATACACCTCCACCAAATATTTACCACCATTTCAGAAAATTAAAAAGAAAACGGATGAATCAAAATAAGAAATGAAGGAATAAAGCTTCTGATTTTTCTGAAAACCCTAAACCCTGTCCTCCTCCATCTCTCCGCAGTTCTCTTCCTCTCCCTTCAGTTTTTATTTGGTCTGTAACGATGCAAAGGAAAGAAAAAACCTTTGGGTTTAATCAGAACTTTTGACTGATCTACTCTCACACATGGTATCAACTCCTGCTGCAGAAAAATGAGGAAAAAAATCAACTCCACCTCTTTACATCTCCACTGGGTGGCGCTGCATCATGGGCAGTAAAAAAAGTAATCCAATCAGAGTGTACATTTATGATCATGTTTCCATCAACAAACCAAACTTGTTCAGACTGTTTGATCCCAGAATATGAGGGAAAATATCAAATATCCAGAGTCCAGGTCCTGAGCTGATCTCAGAGCAGGTCAAAGTGCAGCTCCCAGAGTCCTCTCCGCCCGCTGTGATTGGTCAGTCAGTCTCTCAGTAACACAGCCCAGTCAGAGACTCACCTCACCCTCACTGCTGCTGCCTTCACCTCTCTGATCATCAGGAAACACATGATCCTCTTCTTAATCACTCTGACAGATGTTACTCCCATCTGAGGAGAGAAAAAAAGACAATCAGTGTTTCCACTCTGAGACTCACTTCATCAGCTGGACTGAAGAACATCCAGTTTACAGACCAGCAGGTTCCAGTCCTGCTCAGACCAGAAGTGATGGTGTACAGCAGCAGGTTTCCTCACAAATAAACCAACATCATCAAAATAAAGAAATCATTCCTGTCAAATGTGTTAAAGCTGATCGAACAAACCTGCTGTGAAAATAACAAGTACAAAGAACAGCTGTCTGTTTTCAGACTTGGAGGTCAAAATCAACAAGTTAGCAGAGAAATAACTCTTACACTCCTGGTTTGATGATTTCTGTTCTCACAGCTTCACTAAAGAAAGAATCCTCTGAGAGGGTCGAAGAGTCTGCAGGAAATACTGAATATCTGCTGTGATACTGTGTGGAGAGGAACAGGAGACCAGCACAGACTAACTCCAACTCTATACTGACATCAGAGTCTTCAGGCTGTAGTCTGGACTCTTCTGAAGGTCACACAGCAGCTTCACGTCTGAATCCTGCAGATTGTTGTTACTCAGGTCCAGAGTTTTCAGATGGGAGGGGTTGGACTTCAGAGCTGAGGCCAGAGAAGAACAGCTGATCTTTGTCAAACTGCAGTCATCCAACCTAAATAAAGAGGAAATAATGAGATTTTAAACAAAAATGATCCAGTGTGAAACCTGATGTCTTAAATCTGTAGAGTTCAGGGGAAAGGTTTGGAAAGTATGAATCAGAGAAAAGTGACGCTCCAAAGAGCTGAACCAAACAGGAAGTCAGTTTGAAACAGTGAATTCAAAAACACATGAAATAGTGAAAAACAAACTCAGAGACTTTTTTACTGATTGGAGATGCAGCTCAATATTTTCAGAAAATATCAGCGACTTCAGGACGGATGGGAAATAAAGGATGTTCACAATATTTTCACTTTGCTGAACCAAAAATATCACGTCTTTGAGAGGTAAATATTTCAGTCTAAACACAGCAAGGCTTCAGAAAAGTGCAGATCAACCATCAAATTCAGATTTTCACGCAAAGATTCAAAATCAAAATTCAAAGTAACAGAGCTGGACTTTCATTGGTGTCAGAAACTAAACTCTGAGTTTTTTCTATTCCCTGATCTTGTCCTGAACAAAAGTTTGAATGGTTCTCGTCTGACAAATCTCCCCCTGCTTCTGTTTTCTGTCTGAATGTGCTTCTCACTGTGAACTCTACAAAGAGTTTTCTTCTTGAGTTCAGGTTCTAATTCACTGGAGCTCAGCAGTGATCTAACTGGAGTCAATCAAATAATCCACTGATACTGAAAATCTACTCTGGACTGAAGGTGTTCAGTCTGGGTCAGTATTTCAGTCCTGAGTCAGCAGTTTAGTGTCATCATCACAAACAAATCATGATAATGTTTGAATGGAGGAAAAAAGTCTCACATCAGAGTCTCCAGTTTACATTTTGGACTCTGCAGAAAGTCACACAGCAGCTTCACTCCTGAATCCTGCAGATTGTTGTAACTCAGGTCCAGATGTCTCAGATGGGAGGGGTTGGACTTCAGAGCTGAGGCCAGAGAAGAACAGCTGATCTCTGACAACCTGCAGCTATCCAATCTGAAAAAAGGAAAGAGAATGAAGACAAAAATAAGTAATAATCAAACTTCACATGTTCAGGTTTAAAATATGGAGCTTAGAGACCTCCAACAGGAGACCTTTGGACCAGATCCAGTCTGTCAGAGCTCATTATCTGGTCTGCTCTGACCCTCAATGTTAAATAACAGACAAGACATCAAATGTGATGGAGCACTGGTTTGGATTAGAGGTTCTGGTGTTCAGAATGTGGAGTCCTTGTTGCAGCAGTTGCTGGTTGGACTCCCATGATCCTTTGCTGGAAGTCCTCCCTCACTCTCTACTCCTCGTTTCCTGTTCCTCTTCAGTGCTCGGATCAATCAAAGTCTTCAAAATGAACTTGAACTGTGACATGGAGGAAACAGGAGGATCTTTGTCTGCCTTCATCCCTCACTGTACACTGATCTCCAACAATAACACTCAACCCAGAATAACAGACTGTGTTGTCTCTACTGTCAGAACTGGACCGGACCAGCCAGCAATCCTCCAGATCTGAGTTCATGGAAGTCAGAGACAAACCAGAAATACTCTCAACCAAGAAGAGCTCAGAGAGAGTCACCCAGGACACTGAGCGGACCTCCCTCAACCAGACTGGTCTCAAGAGTTTGTATTTAGCAGATCCAGCCCATGTGAAGCTGAACCTGAATGTGCTCTCAGACTGTAACATCAGCGCTCTGCCAAACAGAGAATGGATGAGACCCTGATGAGACAGGTCAGCTGACTCTGTCTGCAACAACATCACCTTTACTGCTTTACTCTTCTCCCTCACCTTCATCAGGATCAACAAGGTCAGACAGCAGACAGATCCACTCTTCCTCTCACTTTGTCATTTATTCACTGATGGCTGAGTTCACTCACATTTCATTTAGTCCACTCTCTAATCGGGTTTTGCTGCAGGAACCTTTCAAACCATATGACCAGTTATTGAGCTGGCAGAAAAGAGGCAGTGGAGCCAAAACAGGAACCTGATAAATCTGATCATTGAATATTGATCAGAAGAAAAGTCTAAATGGTTCAAATGATATTGGGAACAACAAAATCTGAGAGTTTGGTTCTTGAACTTATTTGGTTCAATCAAAAAAGTGACAAAGAAAACTTTGTTTTTGTGACTACAGTCATCACAGCAAAGTGACAAAGTGGAAATCCATGTGTGTGTTTCTCTCTGTCTGTCTGTGTCTCTCTGCCTGTCTCTTTCTCCGTCTGTGTTTCTCTGTCTGTGTTTCTGTGTTTCTCTGTCTGTGTCTCTCTGTCTGTGTGTGTGTGTCCGTCTCTCTGTCTGTGTTTCTAAAGATGAGCTGTGTTCCTGAGCTGCATGGATAGTGAGTTCACTGCATCCTTGAACATTTGAAAGCTTTAGAGACACATGAAGTAAACCCGTCAACATCACTGCAGTGATCATCTGAACCATTGATAAAAAATCATTAACATTCAATCAACAAAATAACTCACAGTGCTCATTTTCCTCCATCTGTATCTGACTGCTGATTCAATAAAAACTATGAATTTATGTGAGTAAGAAGAAAGTTCTGGAAATATTCAAGAATTCTATGAACATTTAAATCGGGTTAAAAAAACTGAATAAACATAAAAATCTACACCAGAAACAGACAAAGGCTAAACTTACATCAGAGTCTCCAGTTTACAGTTTGGACTCTGCAGAAAGTCACACAGAAGCTTCACTCCTGAATCCTGCAGGTTATTGTGACTCAGGTTCAGATGTCTCAGATGGGAGGGGTTGGACTTCAGAGCTGAGGCCAGAGAAGAACAGCTGATCTCTGACAAACTGCAGTCAATCATTCTGAAAAAAGGAAAAATCATTGAACCTCTGAAGAAACTGTTCCTGCTTTAATGATTCAATGTTCTTGAGCCCCTGAAGGACATGGAAGAAGAACTTTTTCAGAGTTGATCTTGAGGAACTTTGTAAAATCCTCTCTAAACTTTTGAAGATCCAGAGAAATTTTTCAGTCGAGAAAATTTTAAAGATACAGAAAACTTTAGTGAGATCCTCAGAAACTAATGTGAGAAATCTCAAAGGTTTTCTTGTAGTCCTGAATTCTTCATGAAGATGAAAATAGTCAGGAGTAGATTCAGGGCTCTGTCCGTCTGCTGTCAACAACTGACAAACTACTCTTAAATAAACCAACAGATCATTGATCAGAGAGGTTTTTATAGACCAACTGGACAAGATGATGTTTATGTTCAACAAACTGAAGTGAAAACTGCAGAAAAATCTGGATCTGGTTTTTACATTTGAACACGACTGAGCAAAGAAGAAATTCAAGTTTTCAAGAGTTTCCAAATGAAATATCCAGAGTTGGATTAACTTTGTTCTTCAGGTTTCAATCTGCAGCTCATCATTTCTCTGACGCTTCATTCATTCATTAGTGATCACATTAACTGTGGATCAGTTCAGTATCAGCCTTTAGTCTGTGCTGCTCCTGCCCTCTACAAGCATGTGTAATATTTGTGGGACTGATTTTCTCCTGCTTCCTTTCTACATCCATCGTTCTCCTCAAAGTCAACTCTGAAATGTCGGATTTTTCTTCCTGTGTTGAAGTTTTACGACGACAAATTCAAACTGCTCGACCAAAGTTGATGGAAAAACTACAGAGAAAAATCTAAGGCAGAAACTGTCACATCTTATTGTTAGATCAGAAGGAAATGGTGTCTCACATCAGAGTCTCCAGTCTGCAGTTTGGACTCTCCAGTCCTGCGGAGAGAAGCTTCACTCCTGAATCCTGCAGATTATTGAAACTCAGGTCCAGATGTCTCAGATGGGAGGGGTTGGACTTCAGAGCTGAGGCCACAACTTCACAGTGAGTCTCTGAGAGTCTACAGTCAGAAAATCTGTAACAACATAAATATCAAACAATATTTCATTGAAGGGTAATTTGATGTTTCTCTTCACCAAAAACAACTTAAACATGATCTTTGGTTTGACAGACGGCCTGTTTTTAACCAGACAGATACTAATATCAGGACCACAGCCATGAGAGAAGACAGGAAGTCAAAGTTTAGAAGAAAAAAAAACTGTTCAGATGTTCAAGACAAATGACTCCATGACTTATTTTAGTCCTTCTGTTCTCTAACAGTGTTGTCTTCATGTTAGTGCAGCTGGATCATTATGACTGTGTGAATTCTTGAGTTCTAGTTGGAGAAGGGGACTGAGAACCAGGTTTTTGGTCCTGGTATGTGATTGGTTAGTATCCAAAGTACTTCTTGGAGAATCAGTGCTCCTCTCAGTGTTTAATGTTGACATCCTGCTGTAATGTAAGTCTTTCCATAGACACTGACTGTTGACCAATCAGAGGACGACTCACTAAATCACAGCAGCTTCTTTTTCTCTGATTGGTTCAGATAACATCGTTTTTCAGCAGGTTAGAGCTGGTTTGACTCTGAACATTTGAAGAGTTGAAGATTTCTTTGTTTTCACAATCAAAGTTTTTTCTCCATGTAACTCTAGGGGGCGTACGTTCTCATGACTCCTATGAAAATAACAGATTGAATTTTTCTAGTTTGTGTGTTTCATGCAGAAAGAAACATTTGGAGTCAGAGGAAATAAAACAGATTCATCTTTGAACATGTTTTCATTCTCTTCATTTTTTAAAAATGAAAATATTGATACCTCACTAAATCATGAAGTGAGGTATCAATAATGAGTCCTGATAATATCAACATGGAGGATCAATATGGGTACCTGCATTAATTTAACCTAACGACAGTCATGCTAATTATGGTCAAAAACAGACTTTTCTGCTCCCTAAAAAAGTCTGTCTTGTTAGTCCTTTAGACCTGGTTCAGTCTCACAGACTCAGACCTGGATCAAACCCCAGTCTGCTGCAGTATTTGTTTAAAGGCTGTTTCAGCAGAAGGCAGTAGTCTGACCAATTTACATCAACATCTTAAACAGAGGCGTGCAGCCGAGTGAGAGACATGTGACCGCTACAGCCCACCAACACCTCAACATTAGAGGAATCATCTTCACTCTGCATCACCATGACAACAAAGGGACACCATGGAAAACTGATGATGATGATGATGATGCAGTCACACTGCTTCTCCTTAGAGACATGGTGTCCATATATACAGTGGAAGAGCACGGCTGTTTCCACATGCTATGAGGTGTTATGAGGCAGACTAGTGTCAGTGCCAACCTGCAGCACCGAGGGCAGAGAGAGAGAGAGAGAGAGAGAGAGAGAGAGAGAGAGAGAGAGAGAGAGAGAGAGAGAGAGAGAGAGAGAGAGAGAGAGAGAGAGAGAGAGAGAGAGAGAGAGAGAGAGAGAGAGAGAGAGAGAGAGAGAGAGAGAGAGAGAGAGAGAGAGACGTCCTATTTCCACCATTGTTTTCAGACACATGTAGCTGCTGTCCAAATAACTCATGTGTTCTCATCACTCATATGTTCTAGTCCAGCAGATAATCTCCAGTGAGTGGTGGAAAATGATGTTAGTTTTCATGGTTGTATTGATTATGAATATTGAATGATGAACATGATGGTACAGAGACAGTTCTGCCACTGTGTAGAAAATGATCCAGTTCTATTTTCACCATCAATGCTGTCAACACCCTCATTTACAACAGATTCATCATTTCCAACCTGAAAACCAGCAGGAAGAAGCTGCAGACACCTTCTTCAAACTCAAGTTCAACACAACTGACTGAGATGTTGATCTGGACTGATACCATCATCAGAAGACCTCTGTGTGTCCTCAGATATGGTCGCTGATTTGTCCTGAAAGTTCCACTTTATTCATTACAGACACGATTAAAAACAAAGAGGTCCTCCACAATCAGGACAAGTTCTCAGGGGTCCACGGGTAGACCTCATCCTGGGCTAACAGGACTTTAGACACCAGGATCATGTTTTTGCTAAAGAAACCCCCTCCCTGATATTTGAGTTGATTTCTATTTGAAGAAGAACATCATCAGTAACGTGGACATTGGAAGAACTACAGGGATTGTTTACACTATTCTGAGAATAAAACCTGGACTTACACGGCCTTTCTGCAGTTCCTCACAGCTGGGATCAGTCTCTGACGTCCCTGGTCTGATGTTTTATACTCCTTTAAGTTCAACTCATCCAGAACCTCCTCTGACATCTGCAGCATGTAGGCCAGAGCAGAGCAGTGGATCACTGAGAGTTCCTTCTCTGATCTGTTCCCTGACTTCAGGAACTCTTGGATCTCCTGATGAACTGACAGATCGTTCATCTCCATCAGACAGTGGAAGATGTTGATGCTTCTGTCAGGAGAGATATCTTCACTGTTCATCTCCTTCAGGTTGTTGATGACTCTTTGGATCATTTCTGGACTGTTGTCTGTGTGACCCAGCAGACCTCCTAAGAGTCTCTGGTTTGACTCCAGAGAGAGTCCATGAAGGAAGCGAACAAACAGGTCCAGGTGACCGTTTTTACTGACAAGGGATTTCATCATGACTCTCTTCAAGAAGACATCCAGAGATGAGAGACAAGAATCCAGGTTTTTAAAAGATCTGGAAACCGTCTTTAAAGAAGACATGTTTTCTTTGTGTTTGTTGCCTCTTCTGAAACTCTTCAGAACTTTTGTGTCCCTGTTTGTGAAACTGTGGATCATGTAGACTGCAGCCAGAAACTCCTGGACGCTCAGATGAACGAAACAGTAAACAGTTTTCTGGAAGATCACACTCTCTCTTCTGAAGATCTCTGTACAAACTCCTGAGTACACCGAGGCCTCTGAGACATCCAGACCACACCGCTCCAGGTCTTCTTGGTAGAACATGATGTTTCCTTTCTTCAGATGTTCCAAGGCCAGCCTCCCCAGCTTCAGGAGGACTTCACTGTCAGCCTCAGTCAGCTCCTGAGGACTTGTCTCATGTCCTCCTTTATACTTCTGCTTCTTCCTCTTAGTCTGGACCAGCAGGAAGTGTGAGTACATGTCAGTCAGGGTCTTGGGCAGTTCTCCTCTCTGCTCTCTGCTCATCATGTCCTCCAGAACTGTAGCAGTGATCCAGCAGAAGACCGGGATCTGACACATGATGTGGAGGCTCCTGGAGGACTTGATGTGTAAGATGATTCTTCTGGACAGATCTTCATCTCTGGACCTCTTCTTGAAGTAGTCCTCTTTCTGGTCGTCAGTGAAGCCTCGTACTTCTGTTACCCTGTCCACGCGTGAAGGAGGGATCTGATTGGCTGCTGCAGGTCGAGAAGTTATCCAGATGAGAGCTGAGGGGAGCAGGTTCCCCTTGATGAGGTTTGTTAACAGAACGTTCAGTGAAGACTTCTGTGTGACGTCAGACACCACCTCAGAGTCTGTGAAATCCAGAGACAGTCTGCTTTCATCCAGACCGTCAAAGATGAACAGAAGTTTACAGACAGCCAGCGTCTCTGCTGTGACCTTCTCTAGTGTTGGATGGAAAACATGGAGCAGACTCAGAAGACTGAAGCGCTCATCTCTGATCAGGTTCAGCTCCCTGAATGAAAGCAGGATCACCAGATTGAGGTCTTGGTTCTCCAAACCCTCTGCCCAGTCCAGAGTGAACTTCTGCACTGAGAAGGTTTTTCCAACACCAGCCACGCCGTTGGTCAGAACCACTCTGACCACTTCCTGTTGACCTGGTAAGCCTCTAAAGATCTCATGGCACTTGATGGGCGTGTCATGGAGGGTCTCCATCTTTGAAGCTGTCTCCAGCTGTCTCACCTCATGTTGGGTGTTCACCTCTTCACTCAGTCCCTCTGTGATGTAGAGCTCAGTGAAGATCCTGTTGAGGAGGGTTTGACTACTTCCTGTTCCATCACTTCCTTCATTCACACGTTCACATCTCCTCTTCAGACTGATCTTATGTTCATCTAAAACCTCCTGCAGACCGCCATCTGCTGAAAGAGAAGAAAAATAAAATGAACCAAACCAAAATGAACTCAACACTAAAACATCTTTGTGATCAATCAGTCAGCTGAGTTTTCATCCACAGAGACTTTAGAGGACAGATGTTCAGACTTACTTCCATCAGAGCTGGACTGACTGTCTGTCTGAGAGACAAGAACTGTTCTGGTTCTTTTTCCACACTGGGGACAGGAGGTGTGTCCTAAAGAAGTAGACTGGTCCCTGCATGAGGCCAGGCACTGTCTGCAGAACCGGTGTCCACAGCGGGTAGAGACTGGATCCTTCAGGACGTCCTGACATAAAGAACAGCTGGACAGCTGCTCCTCCACAGAGTCACATCTCTGTGTCTCTCTGTGGAAATAAAGAACATTTATTTTCTTTATCGTTTCATGTTTGAAAGATACAGAATAAGAAGCATTTATTAAACCAGAGTTTCTGACCTCACTCTTTTCTCTAACATAAAACAATCTCCTGTAAAAATATTCAGATGCTGCTGCCTGAAAGTGTGGAGACAGGAGAAAAACTAAACTGAGATTTTTGAGGGTGGAGAGATTTTCGCCACCAATTCTACAACATTTTTTAAATCAAACAGATCTAACAGGATTTATTTCTTCATTGGTCTTCTGGTATTTTGTGACCCACAGACTGTTTTCTGGGGTCTATACACCACAGTCCAAAGACTTACAGACTCAAAACGTCCCAAACACAGGAACCAAATCAGAAAATACAGAGGTCAGAATCCTTTTCAAATGCTGTTTTATACGACCTTCATTTTTATCAACATGATGAATAATAAGTAAATCTGTGCTCAGTGACTTTTTCTTCACCAGCCCTTTATCCACGTTGGCAGGTTAAAGAGGAAAATCAGTATTTTGAGAGCAGAGGAGAAAACAGAGGGGTCAGAATTTAAAGTTTTGTTTTTGAAACATCAATTATTGTCGTTCGACAGTTTGGAGGTTGAAAAGTGTTTCTCTTACTGTGAATCTGAGGGTCCTGGTTCTTTACTGAATTCTATGGGAAGATCTTTAGACCAGTCACTCTTCATAGACAGACAGTCAGACATGACAGACTTTGCTCTGCCCTCCTCTGAGGGTCCTGGTTCTTTCCTGAATTCTATGGGAAGACCTTTAGACCGGTCACTCTTCATAGACAGACAGTCAGACATATCAGACTCTGCTCTGTCTTCCTCTTCCTCGACACAAACACTCATCTTCTCCATCTGAAGTTGTGCAAATTTATGGAAGATGAAACCGAGTTATACAACCTGAGGACAAAGTAGACAAACAGGTGAGATACAAACAGGAAGAGAGAGTTCAGAAATAAAAGTAGACTCGTGGACAGGAGGCCTTAAAGAGACAGCAGCTAAAATGAATCGTCTAGGAGGAGGCTGAAATAAAGATATTTTAATACAGCAGAGTGAGAAACAGGAGACTTTTTAAAACTGAAAATCATGTAGAAATATCAAAGAGGAATCAGAAAGGAAGTTCAGAGTCTAAAAAAGCTTAATACCCCTCTTTAAGAGTTATACAGGTTTAATATCCAAGAACTTCTGATGTCTCCCCACCCTGCAGGGCCTCTCTCTGATCCTTGTCTGATTCATGATCAAAACAAAATCAGCTGTGAGGTCCCTGAACTCTCATAAAAATGAATGATTAAATTTGAAATGAGAGGCTAAATGAAAAGATTTTCATTTTAGTTTTTACTAAAAAGACAAGTCTAAACAGATCGTTTTTCATTAACAGATGATACAGATAAAGAGTTTGACATGAAAACAAAAACAGAGTAAACACTCACCCTGTCTCCTCGTCCTCTCCTCTCTCTGCTCTGTTCTTTTCTCAAAATGGAGTCTGTTTTTCAGCTCACTTACTTTCACTTTCACAGAGACTGAAACCTAAACCACCAGATCACAGATTCTTCTCCTCATGACATTTACTGACAGTTTTTGATCATCTTTTAACTTCAGTTTTCTTGACAATCATCTTCCTCTCCTGAGTCCGAATAAAAAAAAAAAAGTTCACTAAAACAGGAACTTGTTTGGTTGAGTCTCAGTTTATTGTTAATGCAGCAGCTCCACCTGCTGGTCAAACCAACAAACTACCAGATGAGCGCTCCTCTTCTCATACCCCAACAACCACAAATACAACTTTTATAATCAAACAGCTGCAGCTACTTCATATTTGTACCTTTTCTATTCTCTCTTAGAGACAGTTTGTTTCCTCTCCTTTCAGTCTTTTACTCTGTATGTTCATGTTTAACTTGTTTTTTCCTTCCTCCTGTTGTTTTTACTGATGTTCACCTTTTTTCCAGGTTCACTTATATACTAATACTAATGATACTGCAACTCAAAATACTACTATGCCTAGTTATAGTACTGGTTCTTATGTTTCTGCTACTATTTAATTTTTATATCTTTACCAATACCACTAAAATAACCAAATGAAAAATGTAGAAATGTAGAAGAAATGGCAGAAATATAGAGTAAAAAAGTCATCATGTAGAAATACTTAACAACAGGACACTCTCAGTCATCGAGCCTCTGTACTGCTGTTTATCCAGGCATGTTAGACTCAGTGTTGTAGCTGACCACTAGGTGGCGTTACTGACCTGATGTTGTGAATTTAACTGCTCTTTGAATCCAGCAGGTCGGAGGAATGAGAGTAAGATAAAGGACAGCGTGAGGTCTGAGGATTTGAATTCATTTATAGTTTAGATTTTAAAGCCAAATTATCATTAAATCATGTTTAACTATAGAGGAAATAAACAAAATAAGTGTGGATCTAGTTAAGTCAAAGTTTGATTTACAGTGTAATAATAGGACAACCACTTAATCTTCAATAATCTTGATGTGACAATTAAATTATTAATAAAAACACTTGAAATCACAAAACTGCCAATAAAGCACGGACTCAGTGTATTATTTACCTCAAAAATGTCTGCTTCTTTTAAATCGAACTTTTGATCCAATCAGCTCAAACTATACCCTGATACATTTCACAAAAAGTGACACAAACTATATATTTAAAACCAGATGAGGATAAATCATGTTATTAATTAAAGAAAAACTAATTTATACATTTTTATTGTTTATCATCCAAACCTTAACTGTGTGTACAGATTTTTATAAAGGCAATCAAACAGGACATTTTAGAAATCTCCTTTATAGAAATTAATCAATAAATACACCAAGATGTAAGAGAAACACAAGATGATAAAAATAGTTTTAAAAAGTGAACCATGAAAATCAGTTTAATAGAGATTCTGTAAAATAAATGAATGATTTTCTAAACTTTGTAGGATAAAGATCTTTCATGATTACAACCTCGACTCCTCAAGAGTTTGGACGCTGTGTAAAATGTTGATAAAGACAGAATCTCTTTGAATCGTATATTAGATTTAATAAAGAGACAAACTGTGTTCACTGACTGTGGTTTTTAGAAGGGATGTGGTGACTTCCACTACAGAGTCTTGTCTGTTTTTCTACTTGAAGGCCTGAAAATTACACTCTGACTCTTTTAATGATATTATGAACTCTAGATCATAAAATCCACCAGTTCTTTGTGAGTTTACACTCCTGAACATTATCTTGAAATTGTCACATTATTAGATCATGCAGTCTCTCACAGTCTCATGTTGTCTTTGCACTCTTATTATTAAAATATAGATTTTTATTAATTTAGAAACCATCAAATTCTGTTTTTATCAATATTTTACACAGCGTCTGGTATTTTTGGAATCAGGGTTGAATATTTATGCTGATTTTTTTTTTTAAACAGGACAAAAATATGCATGAAAGCTTTACACCTGCAAAGACTTGATATCAAGTCAAGAATCTTATAAATCTGTAATCATTTGGTACTTTGTCCTGCTCCTTCATACTGCTGCACATGAGTAACTGCATGGAAAGTGTTGGGAAACAAATACAGACTCCATCAAAACAGAATGTGAAAACATGAGAGTTTCAAAATAGATTCAGCAGATGTAAAATAAAAAGAGTAGAGATGATTTTTGTACTATTTTGTTGCTGCACTCATGCACATCGACATCTTTATGGTGTTGAGATGTTAGAATAAATAACTTAATAAGACACGACCAAAAAGTCTCATTTTGACCAAATTTGGAGCAGATTTCTGGCAGTTTCATATTAGAAGAAATCATTCTGTGCTTAATATTTATTTTTTAAAATAGATTCATTGTTCCTTCTGTTTTTGTTTGAATACATCCAAACATGATTAGAATGACAAGTGTGTGTATAGGCTGTTATATTCCTGCATGTTCATATTGCATTTATTAGGCTTGATGTTCAGTATTTGTTGATTTATTGAAAAAGAAATAAAAATGTTTAATAATTATCTGATCCCATCCTGTTAAAACCACATGGACGATGATTTTCAGTGTCAGTTCTGGGCTGAAAAATATTTAAATGGATCAAAATCTTCCCTCAAACAAAAGTCTGTCAAGAATCAGCTTCATATTTCACAGTGAATTCAATCAGGCTGCTCCAGATTCAGAGGGTTTGGTGGATGTTGTTCACAGTGGGATTTAACGTGTGTGTGATTACAATGTTGATGTTTGAGTGTGTTTGTCTTTTTGTTTTCTGGTTCACAAACACTCTGCTGTGAGACTGAAGTCTTCAAACCTGACGGGGATCACACAGACTTCAACTTGGAGTCCAACAGGAACTTTGATTTCCAAGAAAAGACGATCAAATCAAAGTTCCTGCTAAATAAAAACTATGACCAACTAAACACACCGACTTTCCTTCACACAGCGTCCTACAGACTCAGCTGAATCAAGACTCTTTGATCAACTACCGTATTGACCTGAATATAGGAGCACCCTGATGATAAAACCTTCCTCCACTTTTCAGACTCACTTTGAGGACTTTTTAAAGACCAAATCTAGTTTTTGTTTGAATGAAAAATAATAATAATCAAATGGACACAGTGAATAAAACAAGCTGAGTTGATGTTTTTAACACGTTTTGGTTCAAATAAAGTTTTTATCGTCTTTAAATGACATTGTGACAGGGGAATGATATAAAACATGATGTGGTGTAAATGAAGAACCAACATAGAGTTACACAGACAGAGCACAGATCTATTGATACTAGATAAGCTGAAGTGGGCAAATCTGTTCACACTAGTTCTATGTTTCCTGTTTCTGTGCTGTGAGCAGACTGTGACATGAGCTGTCCTGGCTTCTGATTCTGACTCCACCTCTTTACATCTCCACTGGGTGGCGCTGCATCATGGGCAATAAAAAAAGTAATCCAATCAGTGTGTAAATTTATGATCATGTTTCCATAAACAAAACAAACCTGTTCAGACTGTTTGATCCCAGAATATGAGGGAAAATATCAAATATCCAGAGTCCAGGTCCTGAGCTGATCTCAGAGCAGGTCAAAGTGCAGCTCCCAGAGTCCTCTCCGCCCGCTGTGATTGGTCAGTCAGTCTCTCAGTAACACGGCCAAGTCAGAGACTCACCTCACCCTCACTGCTGCTGCCTCCACCTCTCTGATCGTCAGGAAACAGATGATCTTCTTCTTAATCACTCTGACAGATTTTAACTCCATCTGAGGAGAGAAAAAAAGACGATCAGTGTTTCCACTCTGAGACTCACTTCATCAGCTGGACTGAAGAACATCCAGTTTACAGACCAGCAGGTTCCAGTCCTGCTCAGAGCAGAAGTGATGGTGTAAAGCAGCAGGTTTCCTCACAAATAAACCAACATCATCAAAATAAAGAAATCCTTCCTGTCAAATGTGTTAAAGCTGATCGAACAAACCTGCTGTGAAAATAACAAGTATAAAGAACAGCTGTCTGTTTTCAAACTTAGAGCTCAAAATCAACAAGTTAGCAGAGAAATAAAGTCTGTGTTGAATACAGAGAACTATAAACTGGACTTCAGAGCAGAAACTGAACATTTCTGTTTCATTATGTCTCATTTCTACATTTGATCTGAAATATAGAGACGAGGAGACACTTTTTTCATGACTGACACTCTTACACTCCTGGTTTGATGATTTCTGTTCTCACAGCTTCACTAAAGAAAGAATCCTCTGAGAGGGTCGAAGAGTCAGCAGGAAATACTGAATATCTGCTGTGATACTGTGTGGAGAGGAACAGGAGAGATCAGCACAGACTAACTCCAACTCTATACTGACCTCAGAGTCTCCAGTCTGTAGTCTGGACTCTTCTGAAGATCACGCAGCAGCTTCAC